CGTAACTTATGGAACATCGGTTCCTTTTTACTTTACAAAAAAAAAAAAATCAGTCAAATGAAAAAAAATATATTGTAAAAGTTCCAGTCACAATTGGTTTACTAGTTAATATTAAAAAACTTTTTATTAATTTTGCACATAGTACATTAATAATCATTTTTATAGTTTGCGCCAACTTACCCAGTGGTGGTACCCAGTTGGCGCAATTTTTCTGTAAGTGAATGCAAATTTTATAAGTTAACCAAATTCTTACGCTTTGAGACTTCACTTTAATATTTTCAAAAAAATGTGCCGCAAAGGCTCCAGAGCTCATAAAGTAAAAACCAAGCCAAGTAAGAAAACTAAAAATAATTTATTTAAATGGAGAAAAGTAAGAAAACTAAAAATAATTTCTTTAAATAAACTGAGAAAGTAAGAAAACTAAAAATAATTTATTTAAAAAAACTGAGAAAGTAAGAAAACTAAAAATAATTTCTTTAAATAAACTGAGAAAGTAAGAAAACTAAAAATCATTTATTTAAATAAACGTTTTTTTTTAATGCAGTAGAGTAACAGAGAGTTTTCTGTTTTTGACAATTTTTGAAAATTTAGAAATTTTAAAAACTTGGAAAAATCTTTAATACTTTTTTTATCCTTTTATTTTCTAAACTGAGAACAAATTTATTGCTCAATAGTGTAAATGAAAATAATCTAAATATTCTTATTTTATGAATGAAATAACACTGCGTTGCAAAGTTGTTTAGTAAGTTTTAATAAATATGTTAATGCATTGTTTTAATGGGTATTTATTTTTAAAACATTGTTTACTTTTTTTTAAATTTTATTTTTGTAACAACAAAAATTTTATTTGTCAGTTTTATATCTCAGAGATAGAAATAATATTAGTTAACCATTTTATGAATAACATTGCATAAGTTTATAACGGTATTAAAAAACTTTATACCTTTTTGAGATCTATTTTAAAAGAAAAGGATATTATTAGTGACATGATCTAATGATATATTTTTTTAAATATTTATATGTACAAGTTTATCATAAGTTATATTGACGGTAAATTTGAGTCGTACTGTCGGGACCAGCTAAAGTATGAGTAGTAAAAAAGCCGACTGATTATAATTTTTATTATTTTTCATTGTTAAACGGAATCATTCTCGCATAGTGGCGTTGATTACAAAGAACCAAATATAAAGTGTATTTGCAGTAGTAATAAGTTTTATGAACTTCGGGTTTACTTATTAGTTTGCGTAATTTGAATGTGACCTCAAGTGTAAATATAATTGTTTTTTTAAAACGAAACTTGATATATTTAGAGTAAATAACCAGGTTTTTTTTTAAAAAGCAATTTAGCGCTAGAAATTTTACAAGATTTTATTCCAACATTTTAATATTGACCCGGTGCTGGGTAACCGGAATCGGGAACTCAGCATCTGCAAACTGGTTCCGGTACATCTTTATTTTGCACTGTTTTCTTTTGTATCTGCTTCATAGACATAATGATTTTTCTTGAAACAAACAAAAAAATTCTTTTAGATGATTAATAAGTTCTTATATATAAGAAATTTATTGAATCATTTAATAATCTTTTTGGTGAGTTTAAGGTTTCCGCAAATGTTTTTGTAAAAAAAATAAATATATTTATACTGATACTAATTGAATATGAAATGTTTTGAATAAGATAAAGTATTTTAATTAACACTTTACATAGAAAAGAAGTAGTAATTCACAAATAAAACGCTATAATCTAAACTAGATAAAGGAAACAAATTAGTAAAATTTATATTGCATAATAAAAGTAAAGTTCTAGAAATATTATTTAATGACACTCGAATATCAGATTAATAAAGTTTATTAAATATGGACAAAATAATTAAGGGGCCATCCATAAAAGGCGTCATCCAAATAGGGGGGGGGAGGAGATCGAGTTAAAAATGACAAAAAAGGACAAGGGGAGGGGGGAAGTTGTCAGAAAAGGACGTCACTTAATAGATTTTTTATTTTAGTTTAATTAACATGGAAAACTACGTAAACATGTGTTTTTAAGAAGATAATGTATGAGAATATTTTTAATTTTATTTTTCAAATGTGTAGCAGCAGATTCAAACATCATTGCGAGATAAGATAAATTTTTTTGGAGTTAAAAATAGGGGGGAGGGGGTTCAGGATTTTATGACGTCCTTTTCAAGGGAGGTATAGGGAAAAAGGACAACCGGTGACAAAGGGGGGGAGGGGGTCAAAAATTGGCTAAAAAATGGTGACGTCCTTTATGGATGGCCCCTAATACATATCTATTTGCATATTTAAATTATTACACAAATAAAAAAATTTATAACATAACTTTTTTGTGAATCTGATAATATTGATACGCTAATTTAATAATATTAATAGTCAAATTACGTCCTTTTCTAGGCTTTTCTATTTTAAAGTAGTTTCTAGGCTTTTCTATACGCGGGTTTTTTTTAATTTTATTTACTAACAACCCGTATTACGGGTTGCTTACTGCTAGTGTTAAAAAAGACTATAAAAAGTTGTTTTAAAAAATATGAATTTTACATATTTCAACATGAGTTTTTTTAATTCTTTAATTATTAAGTAATTTGCATAAAGTTAAAAAATTAAACCAGAGTCTTAACATGAAATAAATAACAAAAGGTATAGAAGTTTGTTAATCAAAATAAAACGCAAAACGTCTCCTTTTTTTAGATAGCTCTGCATTTAAATGGTTCTCAAAAAAAAAAAAAAAAAAATGTTGCGTCATGGTTTTAAAAGTCAGAGATAACATAATACTTCATACTTATCTCAGAAGTTAACTTTGCTTTTTAGGTTCTATGTAATGTTTCTATATAAAAATTTTACTAAAATCCATTTGTTTTAAAAATTATTTAAAACTTTATTCTTTGAGTATTTTAGGTCTGCTTTTTATAACTTGACTGTTACCGTATTCAATACTTATATTTATTCATTATTATTCTATACTCATATATATTTTTTAAAAAACTTTATTACTTATCCCATTAGATTTTAAAATCCTTTTTACAAAAAATAACAAATATAGGAAGCCGAAATATAAAAATAAATCAATAAAAGTTAAAAGAAAAAGTAATTAAAAATAAAATCGAAATTTACTATTAAAAAAGTTTCTGTGATGGCTTTTTTCTCCATTTACAAGTTTATTCTATAAAAAATTAAATAAAATTTTTTACAAAACATCCAAAGATTTATAGGGTGAGTGAGGCATCGTGAAACATGAGGCACCATGATGCAATGTAATTGTAAAGCCATCTAAAGAGTGGTGACAACCACTTTCATATGGTACAACAGTTACTACTGGGGCTATGTTTGAATAAAAAGTTGTATTATTTGATATCATTAAGCCTGCAATGGATAGAACTTGGTTTTTATGATTTAATGGCAATGTAATTTATTACTTTTTAAAGTTGCTAATTTTTAATACATGTTATTCAATGCGTCAATCGGCACTTAACTTCATATGATAAACTATAATCCATAGAATCTAACTTCATTTAATAAAACTAATAAAAAAGTAAGTTGAAGCGATTGTTTTGTATAAGTAAGTATGGGGTAACCTAATATAGCATTAGTAGGGGCCTTTAAACTGTAGAACAGTACTCTGTTGTGTCATAGACAATTCAAAAAATTATTTATTCTAAAATTTACAGTCAATGTTAAAGAAGCTTATTTAAATATAACACTTAGAGATAAAATTATGATACATATTATATGATATGCCTCAATAAAAAATAGCTTAGTCATAAGCTATTTTTTATTGAGGCATAAGAATGATATTTAAAACAATATATTGAGGCATAAGAATGACATTTAAAACAATATATTATCTGGAATTCTAAAATGTGGTTTGAACCATCGAATGCATTATTTGGGTTTTAATTAATAACTTGTTTTTCTTTCAAGTAAAAATTTGTGTTTTCATTGAGTTTTATACTTTTTATTTACTTTTTAAATGATGCTTATAAATGATGCTTACTCATAAAACCTTATGGGTTTAGAGCTAAACTTAGACAGTTATTACTAAAAAATGAGTACTGTAAGTACTCGACACAAGTTTCTAATTTTATTTTAAATAGTCTCACAAGTTTAACCTGTTATATTTTGGTAGTTATTAATTAAATTATTAAATTTAATTTTCTAAGTTTTATTCTAGAAATAAAACAAGTTGGCTAAAATAAAAAACTCTATCCTCTTTATTATAGCTTTTAAGGATAACTTTACTTGATTTTTTTTTTAATATGTAATTATTTATTAGAAGGAAAGACTAAATTATTATAACATGCAAAAACAAATATAAATATAATATTTCGACTGTAAAAAAAAACAATGCAATATTAACATGCCCAACTTATGCAACCTTTTCCCCTAATTGTTTTACGCAACAACAACAACAACAACAACAACAACAACAACAACAACAACAACAACAACAACAACAACAACAGTTTTTTATTCAATTTTATTAAGTCAAATCTCAAAACAATATTATAATTATTTTTTTAAAATACAAAATTTTAAAAAAATAAATAGCAGAAAGATATTATTAGTTTTGTTAAAATATTAGAATTTTTACTATGTTTTGCCTTTATTCAAAAAGTAATTAAAGCTACTGCAATTTTAGGACTCTAAACTGGGTAAGTCAATAAAAACACTGGGTAATTTGAGCATCCTTATTTTACACAAAAATAGTACGTTTAAACATAGTCAAAACTAAATGTTTCTATGCATTTTTTTCAAACACAAGCGCTACGAATTTCTGGCTAACATATTTTGCTTTATGAAAAATTAAATTTTTATTTAATTTTTATTAAATTTTAGCACAGAAGTTTTTCGCCATGGATTTATAAAGCGTGATAATAATAAAATATTTTAACATAGAAAAAATTAAATAGCGTTTTCATTAGATGATAGCCGCTAATTATACTAATTTCTGTTATCATCACAGAAATTTGTTTCAAAAAAGAAAAAGTAATTTTAACTTCACTGCTTACATCTTTTGCAATGCAGTGTTTACAAATATATCGAGTTTATAGTAAGTTATTAAATTATTATTTACCAACTCTTTTCCCCAAAAGCGTGACAAATTCTTGTTAACAGTTCTTGTTAACAGTTAACTAGTATTTGTAATATCTTACAAATATATGATTATTTATCAAATTACAAATATTATTAATTATATTATTAATTATCATTAATAAGAACTTGCAAGATAATAAAACAGAAGTCAAGTTCTTGTTAACAGTTAACTAGTATTTGTAAGATAATGAATATATTAAATAAACTGATTTTTCAATTGAAAAGAGCTTTTTGGAGAAAATATTAACTGTTTGGTTTTTTTTTAGTTTTCTCCGGTTTTAAACAACGCAAGCCAGAACATTTTTGACCGAATTTGAATACCTGACAGGCTTTTCGTCAATGGAAACATAAATTTTTTTAAATAACTGCAATTTCAAGTAACTTGCGGATGTTTGGGTGCGTATGTAAAAAATTCTAACTACAGGGAATATAAATCGCTTCAAATACGCTTACAGTCAAAGGAATTTTTTAACCTTTGCATCGTCCATAAATTACGTAACGCGAAATTTAACTAATAAACAAAAGAAAAAGTGTTAAAAGTTTTCCCGTCTTTAATTAAACCATGTATAAACAACCCTTCAAGTCCAGCGAAAGCCGCCGCTCAAAAGAGCAAAATATTCTCCTACTTATATTTTTATAATATGCATTGCGTAAGTTATGGACGATCCCTTTATTTAAAGAAAACAATTCTGAAAAAACGAGAATAATCTTTCCTTACCATAAAAACATAATCTTAGTTTTTAACAAAAAAACAAAATTATAGAAAAGCTTGTTGCAAAATTATAGTAAAGTTGGATGCAGTTGTGGAAAATCATAAATAGCTAAATAAAGGAAGTTTTTTTTAATTTACACCTACCTTTATTTGAGAAAATTGAGATTCCTTCTCAGTAGGCACGAGACGTAAAAAGAAAACATTTAAACGTCTTTTGGATGTTTTGGACGTCTTTTAGACGTTTAAAAACGTCATTTTTAGGTCCTGTGCCGACTGAGTTGAGAGTATTTAATCATTAAAAAATTGTACTAAGAAGGCATAAACTAAGATTTAGATTAAAGAGTTTAAAGCTAAACTTAGACAGTTATTACTAAAAAAAAAAAATTTTCCTCAAAACTATTATAGATATCGTATATAAACTGAAACTTTCATGTTGTTAAGTAAAAAATTTTATGTTTTAGGTTCATTTTTATATGGATTATGTCGTAGTTTCAAGAACAATAAAAAAGAGCCCTGGAACTGTAAAAAATCTTAAAACTAGTTACTAACTATGTGTTTAATCTTTTAAATACATAAAACAGTTTTCAATCATTTTGCTGCATTATTGGTCTAGTTTATAATTTTGGTGTTTTAAGAAAGTGACATAAGCTAGTAATTATGTAAAATTAACAACTGCTAGGACTTTTTGGTGTCATTATGAACCAAATAAAAAAGCAATAATTCCACTAAACTCAAATTATTAAAAGTAGATAAATTAGACATATTGTAAAAGTAGGCAAATTATTGTTTGCAAAATTGAAATTATGCCATTTTTAACTGCATGCACCATGCCATTTACAACTGCATTCAAAATACTAGGATCAGCTAATTTTAAAATTTCTTTATTATATATGAGTGAATATCAATATAGGGGAAAGGCCTTTTTTTAGCCTATGATGGCATAGCGCCTATGATGGCATACCGGTCATATTTCCATAAATATTGGTTAGGGCAAAAAAGTGATTAGACCATCATGTCTATACTGACTTTACATTATTTTTAGTAAAATACATCCCTTATGCACAAATATTGCTTTTATAATCAACAAAAATTGATTTTGGGATGTCCTATTGTATTTTTAATCCCTTTAAATATTTAAGATTGTGATTTTATTATTAACTGTGCAGAAATGAAATTTTCATGCATTTTATTTTTTAAGTTTTGTGCGTTCAGTGGAATAATTTTTTTAATTTTATCTTTTTAACAAGGCAGGCATATCTTGTTTAAGTGAAAATGGTGACTTTTTCCTTTGATGGCATACTGACAAGTTAGGTATGTTGCAATATTGACGAGTTGAGAAAACCATTTTTTTTCATAAAAATAACTTATTTTAACTGTTAAAAACATATCATTTTTGTTGGTATTTCGGTAAATAGTAATAGTTAATTTCAAAGAATTGAGAACTTATCGTGACAGTGTTGGTTTGTTTTGTTCTATATAGGGGTTTCATCATTATTTTTTTTTATATAATGTTCGATTCATTACTTCTTCGCGGTAAATTTTTTTACTTCAACTCATTTGAAAACCAAACAGACTTATCGCTAAATTTTTGAATTTTATTAAATAATGATTTCATGAAAAAAATATTTTACAATTTACTGTCATAAATGTTTTGTTTTTTTATATATATAAGAAATCAAGCAAATGGGCAAGTTAAAGAAAGTTTCTTATTTTTGAGTTTTATTTTCCCAATATAGTTTTAAAATTTTTTTAAGTTTTTAATTATCATAAGCGAAAAAAGGTTATAAACATAAAAAAATTTATTCGCAAGCGAACGAAACTCGTTTGATACGAAGGTTGCGTAAGTTGAGCATGTTTTCAGTGTAATGTATTTTGCTCTCAAAAGATTACAAAAAGATATATATATTTTTAAGAATAATGATAATTTAATCTTTCTTCTTAAAGAATATCAATGAATTGATGGAAAATAGTAAATCTTTATGCCAAAAATTGCGTTATTTTCAACACACCTAATGATTTCATCTTAAAGAACTAGTTCCCTAAGATGAGCTTTTTTTAATGGAACTTATAAAAACTCAAAATAACAAAAAATAATCACACAAAAAAATTAAACAAAATTGTATCTTTAATGACTATACTTAAGTAAAAAATAGTTATCTCAACCATAAAGAAAAAACAATGATAAATCTTTCCTTTCTAACGATACTATTTTTTTGAAAAAACTTTCGCTCTTGAAATACCAAAATAAGCTCCGCGGAGAATAATTTAAAAAAAAACGCGCTTTTCTTAATAAAAGCTGCATCTCATCTAGAACGTCTAAAAACGTATCATCTTAAGCAACTTCACCATGTACTATCATAATTCAAATAGAATGACAACAGCTTATGTATTATCTCATATAACTCATGGAATTAACAGATAAGCATAAAATATTGAGGATGTATTAATTTTTTGATAATCTTGTTTCGTTTGGACGTAATTACAAAATATTGAATAATAAAAAATTGGAACGGGGATGGTAAATTTTTTTAACAGTAAAACAATCAAAGAATAATAACTATAAAATCAAGAAGTTAAAATAAATTACACCGTCGAGCTTTTATGAATATGCTTAACCAAAAAAGTTCGCGAAAAAATCATTAGCCTACCCGTAAATGAGGTTATACCATCTTAGGAACCTGATCATCTTACGCAACCTTCCCCTACAAATTAATACTCATTTAAAGTTTGTTCTCTAATGTAGATAATGTTTTCAACTTTGTGTTTTAAACCGTGAGGTTCGTTAAATAAACATGTAAATCTCGTTAAATGTAAAACTTTTTTTAAAAAGTATTTTTTTTTAAACAAGAAAAATTAAAATGGTATGATAAGTTGTATATGATAAATAAATAACTCATTTTTATTCATTATGTTTAGAACCGCAAATTAATGTTGCTTTTTTTTGAAGATTGTTTCAGTTAATCAGAACAAATCAGTTGTTCAATTAGTTTCGTTTTTTTTTTACAATGCTAAACAACCTTTCCAATTCAGCATTACTGTGAGAAATATTATTCCTAAGGTATCTGAAAAGGTCTTAGATAATATTGGAGGTCAACCTTTGTTTCACTACAGAATCGACATTTTATAGTACAACTTTTCTTAAATGATTATTCCAAATAATTTCAACTAATAACGTTTCAACTTGCTCAATGGAAGTAGGGCATAGAACAAACAAACTCGTAAAAAAAAAAAAAAGCCGACAATTTAAAACAAATCCGATTGGTTGTTAGTGGGAAACCGAATAAATTTTTATTTATTGGTATTTAATTTATGCAAACAAAGAACTCGAGTTGAAAGTAATTTATTTATAAAGTCAACAGCCTCTGTTTTTTAATTGTTAACGTAATAGTTTATTATTTCAAGATGGCCTAATAAGTCCCGAGTATTTCAAAAAATGATACTAAATATCGAAAACGGTTTTTTAAATGGGGCTAAAAGTTATGACTATTTATGCAAAAACAACTTTGGTAAAAAAATTAACACTATCATAGGTTATCTAAATCTAACGTGACATTATTGTTAAACATATTCATTTAGGTGTGGTATTGAAAATAGTAACTTCATTTTTCATAAAAAAATGGTTTTTCATGGATAATTTTTTAGCTCAACCTTCAGTATTTTAATAAAGCTATTTGTATTCCTTTTTTGTGAAAACCGTTTTGGCTTTAAAAAGACCTGACGTACAGAACTAAAAATAAATAACCACGCACAAGATGTTTACTCGTAACGCTATTATTTTTCAAAGTTATGTTTGTCTCAGTTGATGTGCAAACAAAAAACATTCATGTAAGTATATTGTCTACATTATATTGTTTAAACGTTAATACAAACTGCAGCTGGCAAGCCTCTTGTGATTCTTTTGATGTTAAGATAAAGCTCTTTAACTGCAACTTGACATCGAAATTTTATTATCTCGACATGCACAAATATTAGTATAATCAGGAATGCATATAAATACCAAATATGTCATACTTTTTGATAAAAAATTTTACATTTATTGTAATTGAATAAATATATATAATTTTGTTCGGAAAAACGTGTATCAAGCCTTAGTTGCATTGAGTGTTACCGAAATTAGCTGAATTAGCCCTTATTATTTAATTAAATTATTTAATAAAAACCGTTATAATTGTTAATCAATAAAAACTTAATCGAAAATCTTATCTTACTTGGCCCCTCTAAAAGGATTATCATAAAATCATTGCCCTATCCAGGTAATTTGAGTACCATGTTAAGCTAAATATGCTGTTATGTTTTTGCTTTGTCGCCATTTTTTAAAAAATCAGATTTGATTTATAATATAAACAAACCCATGTTAAAAGCTCTTTGATGGTGCACGTTTTATAATCTTGTGCATTCAATTTTTACTAGCTCTTGTTGTAACGACATCCTATTTCGAAATTTATATTGTTTTGAGCGAATGTAATTCTTAAAATTTACCGTGAGAAATTTGGATTTACCGTGAGACCGTGAGATTTGTTATCAAACAGTGAGTCTTACGGCAAAACCTGGAGAGTTGGAAGGTCTGCATTGATGTGATATGTAAGTGAAAAATTAAAAAATATTTTCCAAAATTTTATTAAAATAAGTTTCGTATTGAAAAGGAACTTGGTACTAAAAGTTGACACTA